CCCCAAAACCCCAAAACCCCAAAACCCCAAAACCCCTTCAATGTACACCTAGGCTGAAAATAAAGTTATTATTAACAATAGGACCTAAGATAGCTAGAAATTAGGAGTTAGTCTCATCTTCTTATTATATTTGGTGAAATTGTCGAAATTAACACCTCTAAGCTTGTCTCTGTATTCCCCAATTGTCTCTTCCTTAGTAATTGGAGTTTCAGAATAAGCAATTGGCTTATATTCGATTCCTTTCATAAATGAGACTCTTCTGGCTCGTTTTTCTGCATACATTCTAAATTATGAAGAACTTAAATTACTTTGTCATCTCATTGTCAATATAAAGCTCAGAGGCATTTTTAGAGCTCTTATTGTTACCTCCATAATCAGAAGTCTTAGATTTGCTAGTACAGATATTTTTAGCTAGAAAGCAAAATTAGGTTAAATCTGTATTGAAAAATTGACCAGAAAATTCATAAAAACTTACAAGAAGTTCCATTGATATTTTTCATTCTTTTGCCTGATTTTCCTTTCTTAAATTTCCGAAGATTTCTATTTGAGCTTGGAATATTCAAAGTTCTAAAGGCATCAGAATGGAAATACGCACCTTGATGAAGTATCTTGCTTTCTCTTTGGCCTCTTAGGAGACAGAATATTTGAATAATTAGATTTCGAAGCAATTGATCATGAATCTTCAATTTTATCAATAGGCCTTCTTGTATTTTTCCTCAGTGATGGTACAGAATCAGTCGTTTCTAGAATAATAAAATTATTAACCATTCTTGTCACCAAATTTAGATCCTGATAGGCAATCGCTGGAAGACTACTCAATACTAACACACAAAGGTTGGTAGAACTATTAGGAACCCTTGTCATTTCCCGAGGAGTATAGAAAGGATGGGTTTTTATGAATTTTCTGATACAAAAATTTTGAACACAAAAATTTATTAAAATCTTAACTTTTGGTCTAATTTCCTCCTGTAAAGTCCTTTCTGGTGACTATCTTTATAGATAACTCTTGGTGTAAATTAAGGCTTAAAGCAAGATTCTCAGGTGGGCCAAAAGAACTAGATAAACCTCTAATCTTTGGAATTAGGTTCAATTATTCTTAGAGAAAGGATATGTTTTCCTGGAGTTCAGTTAGCAATTACATATTCAATTCTGTTGAACTAAAAGTATATCTAAAGCATTTAGTTACTTACAAAACTACACTGGCTAGCGAGATATTAAGATTAATTAGAAATTTGAGAGGAAATAGCCAAGACTTGAGAGAACACAAATACTAACTTCCTTTGAATAGAGTTACTTAAGATTGGCATTCTTGAGTTAGTTTGATACGAAACCTCTCAGAAAGACATAAATTTGTAGAATCTTTACAGAAAATTAACTAATACAGCCGATCAAATGACCCTCTTAACAAATCCAACTCTTCTCTGTAATAAGCTCAAATCTCTTTTCAGAGTTCTGTGGCCTAGATAGGTAAACTTACCTTCATCAGCCATTCTGATTTGTTGTTGCCTTTGAGCACAGCATGTATTATTTCCCATACTTTAAATTAATTACTCTAAATATTTTCAGCTCTTTTATTACGTTCCGGGGTTTTGGGGTTTTGGGGTTTTGGGGTTTTGGGG